GTGGCCAGTGCAGGGTGACCCTTGGGCTCTCTTGATGATGTCACTGTGGTGCTTGGGCACTGACCTGTCCTCTCCTCTCCCCAGGTATGGGATCAGCCCGGAGAACATCATTTTGTACGGACAAAGCATCGGCACAGTGCCCACGGTTGATCTGGCCTCCCGCTACGAGTGCGCTGCCATCGTGCTCCACTCGCCGCTCACCTCTGGCATGAGAGTCGCCTTCCCCGAGACCAAGAAGACCTACTGGTTCGATGCCTTTCCCAAGTGAGTGGCCTGAGGAGAAGGGAAGAGGGGTCAGCTCTGGAGGGGCAGTGCCCAGATCGATTCTGACCCGGGCAGCAGCCCTGGCCACGAAAGGGGTCACGGCGAAAACTGTGGATCTTTTTTCCCCGATAGGCTTAAACATGCCCATCGGTGTCCTCTTGCTTTGCGTTCGGTCCTCTCTGAGAGATCGTAACCCTCCCTGGGGTCACCATGCCCCCTATCTGAGGGCCGTGCTGTGTGCGCACCCCACATCCCCTGCTGGTGTCACTTCCTGGCCAGATTTGGGGCTGTGTGAGGTGTCACGCCCTGGGCTAGTCCCCGGGACCTCTCTCTCCCTCCAAGGTAATTGCTTGGGCTTTCTTCCCCCCGACTCTGCAGGCATTGAGGGCAGTGGCACAAAAAGGCAGCGCTGAGGTGGGACAAGCTCTTGCTGCAGGGCCAATGGGACCCGAGGGACGGGCCCCGAGGCGGAAGCCGGGGCTGAAAGCCACCAGCCCACGCTCTGCATCCCGATGGCCTCATGCGGCCTTTGGAGCCGGGCTGAGAACATCCGTGCTTCCGCTCCTCAAAGCCTGGCACGGCTGATCCCGGCCTGGGCTCGGGCTGGCCTGCAGCGGTTTCCGTCAGCCCTGCCTGCGTCCCATGGGGTGGTTGTCACCACTGTCTGGTCCTTGTCTGTCACGCCAGGGGAGATCTTGTCCTGGAGCTCATGCTTGGCAGCAGCTCCATGTCCCCGAGCTCCGCTGTGATCAAAGAGCATTTCCTGGTCCCTCTTCCCGAGGGGATGTGTTTTGGGGGGCAGGAGGGATGGGAGTGCCTTGATCCCTGTACTCACCCCCCTCTCTCGTCTCTTCCCACCCACCTTCTTGGCAGCATCGAGAAGATCTCCAAAATCCCCTCTCCCGTCCTCATCATCCACGGCACGGAGGATGAAGTCATCGACTTCTCCCATGGCCTGGCGCTCTTCGAACGCTGCCCCAAGGCCGTGGAGCCGCTGTGGGTGGATGGGGCCGGGCACAATGACATTGAACTCTACAGCCAGTACCTCGAGCGCCTTCGGAAATTCATCTCCCAGGAGCTGCCCAGCCAACGCAACTAGCCGGGGGCGGGGGGACGGGCAGGGGGTTTCTGCCTGGTTCTTCAGTTCTCCCAGCATCCCTCCTCAGTCCCTGCTGCTGGAGGTG